ATTGCTTTGACAATCCCGGCATCCACTACAATCATGAGTATTCAAAGTTTTAGATGCCATCTTTGAGTTTATTACGTAGCGGTAGTGATATGGTAGTTTTATTTATCGTTATCGTTATGATTTATTTATGTGAAAGTCGTCGTTTATGTTTGTATTAATTTATGCATGAACACAGGAATACATGCATGAAAAAAAGCTTTTTATCGCATAAACTCAAAGATGGCATATAAAACTTTGAATACTCATAATTGTAGTAAATGCTGGCGTTGTCAAAATAATTACTACTGCAAAGTGTGTTCAGTTCACAATATTCATGATTGTAGTAATACGTGTAACTGTTACAATGGGGTTACTCCAATGAGTGTTCAGTTCATAATACTCATGAATGTAGTAAATGTACCGAATGTCAAAACAATGGGTACTGTCATAGATGTATTCTATATCCTGTCTAATAAATGAATGCAAGGAAATTAATACATATAGCGTATTTGACTTTATTTCTTTTGAAAGATTTACCAGTGTTGAATAGCTTGCAAAAGGAGTGACAGTTGTGTTGAAATCATTACACAATTTAAAGCAAATTACATAGGCGTGGTAAAATGTACACCTTTAAAGTGTAAGGCTGTTTCTTTGTTTTTCAATATAACGATATTAACTTTTTCATACTGCTTTAAAGTGCGATGCTTTTTATAGTAATATTGGTTATTATCACCGGTCGAACAGGTTGGTATGAAAATGCAACTTTTTGAAAATTAACCCATATTTTTGGGAGTTAGCTAAAGCCTGGTGAACACGTGTAATCCGTCCAATAGGGGTGCGTAAATTTTTGTCAATCACCAATAAGAATGCACACAAGATAGGAAGGCGATTTTATATATGTTATGCCCCAAATCACAATCTGCTCCAATTGACAATTAGAATATTTCCCAAATCAAAATCTAAACCAAATATAGCACTAACCCTAACCCTTACCCTAACTCTGAGCATATTCCTATTCAACATATATAACGATAACCTTGTCCTCCAATCCTAACCCTTACCCTAACCTTATCGGTTGCACGCGGAAAATTTAGAGGAACTGAGTCACATGTCCACCAGGCTTTAGAGTACTAGTCTTAGAGCAGGGTTGTACCCAAAATTGCACTCGAAGCATTTTTCTTAGTCAGCCCGAGTTTGCTAAAAAAGAATTTGGATCGGCGATCTAAAAATGATTGATTAATAAAGATTTTTCACGTGGATTTATTGTTCTCCGACTGGTTAGATGTAGTTGGAAATGCGACATTTTTGCTTTTGGGCAAAAACAAGGGCAAATTGTAATTTTGTAATTTTTTAGTATTATTTAGCATTAAACTTTATTTTATTTTAGTTTAGTTTAAATAATAGATTTTTACAACATTATTTTATTTTTTAAGACACTAACGCTAATATTTTTAGTAATTATTCTCCATTTTTATATCTTATAAATTAAATAAAAGCTTAATGCTAATATAATCAAAAAGCTATATTATAAGCGATTTTATAAGACTTCCTGATATAGGTACATGTATAAAGTATTAGCGTTAATATAAATCTTTTAATAATTTAAGATTTTATTTTGAGTATTGTTTATTAATATGTATATATCGATATATTATACGTAATATTAAATAACTTTCAATATCTTTACAAAATAATTATTTAATAAATATCTTAAAATCTTATCGTTATCGTTATCATTTTTAATTAATTTGGAGAAGTACAACATGCAAACATACGATTTAAATCAATATAAATGAACGCGCGTGTAATAGATAATTAGAATAACTTTTTTTTGTCATTTACAATGCTAACATAAAGTTGTAATGGTAAATGCGAATGTCAGATCACAATATTTATGATTATAGTGTGTACCCTCAAAAAATAAGTGCTATCGCTATCATTATCGTTATTGAAACTAAAGATATCGATAGCCTAATTTCAATATTGATATGTAAAAGAATAAATTTATTTCACGAATAATATACATGTACGTATAATTTTATCAAATTCATATCAGCGACAGACTATGTAGATACATGTACGTACGTAGTTCGATCACGATTGGAATAAAAAAGAACATAAATATCGATATTGTTACCGTTTTGGTGATCCTTCTAATTCGGAAGGATCAGTTTGGGTCGCGTTGTATATAGGTCCAATATTTTCTTTTTTTTTTGTTCTGCCAAATAAGTACCCCATATGTAAGTTCCGCATGTTCTCTTTTTATCGTGATTTCTTTTTTCTTTTTTTCGCGGTTTTCTCTCTTAAACATTCCATCTGATGATTTTCCTTTTAATCGCAGTTTTCTCTCTTTTCTTTCTCAAACATTCCATCTGATATTCTCTTTTATTTTATCTTTTTTTCTTTTCTTTTGATCACTTTTAATGATTGTTCTGGATCTTTATTGTTTCGTCGATATAATATCTGGTTTTTAGTAATATAATGTGTTGAATTTTTGTTCTTTCACTGTTAAATTTTCAATTGTAAGGTATTCAAATAATTAATGAGTTAATTGTAAGATTTTCTCTCTTTTCCTCGCGGATCTCTTGTTTAATAATTTTTTTACTATCTTTTAATTAAAATCACGATTTTCTCTCTTAAATGTTTTCATTAATTTGTCTTATATCTTTACTCTTATTATTATAATCTCTCTTGGACAAAACTCTTAATTATATTTTACATACTTTCTCACCAATGCTTTTGATTTTCCTCTCTGAATCGTATTATTCTTTTATCTTAATAGTCTTATAGGAATAAAATTATATGTAAACTAAAAAAAAAGTATATAAGAAAGTTCTACGGGCCTCAATAAAATATCAGAATTGTTGCGTACAGTTATTCTCCAAGTAAAATGAGACTTGCAAAATTCCCCTCGTAATAATTGATTGAATTTGCTAACGGTTAGGACCTTAATCCAGAAAAGACAACGTTTAGAAGATCGATAACAGTAATCGATCTTGGTAAAAGAACGCGTAATAACTATAGTTAATAGAAAGCTTAATTAAATCTAGAATTATTAAATAAAGAAAATGTCTTAACCTACACTTACCCAAAGTCCAACGTCAAATACAATATCTGTAGATATCGGCACAGGCAACACCAATTGTCGTTCAAAACTTGCTTTCCCAAAAAAATCGCCATTTATAGAAAAATAACAAGTTAACTACGTAATGTGTAAAGAGATGGTTTAAAAAATATTATATGGTTCAAGTAATCTATACTCAACAATTTGTTTCAATTTTTAAAATCTTTCAACTCAATGTAGAGACAAATTTTCAAAATTTGACCGGTAACTTTGTTCTTTATGATAAGCTCTATAAAGTTACCGGTCAAATTTTGAAAATTTTGTCTCTACATTGAGTTGAAAGATTTTGAAAATTGAAACAAATTGTTGAGTATAGATTACTTGAACCATAGTTAATTCAAATAATACCATAGAGTAGGTTAATTTATAATGTAATAATGTCGAAATTGTTTTTCGCCTTTTTACTATTTATAAGTGTAACCTTGTGCATTCGTCGATCCATTAATTAATGACTTGGTAAAAAAATAATGCTTTTATATAAAAGGTTACAACAATTTTTGTGTTATTTGCCATGTTTGGTAAGCAAAACTTGTTTACTTTCTATTTTTATTGAATAAATGGAAAATGCACTAAAAAAATGACAATGCACATCCACGTTGATACCGGATCGTTTAACTGGTACATGTACATCATTTTGAAATTCCAAAAACAGAGAACGGTTAAAGCGAGTCCATATCTTAAAAGGTAATTTTAACGTTAGGGTTAGAGTTGGGAAGGAGATCAAGCTTATATTTAAAATTGCCTTCCCGACATTTTTAATTAGTGCTCCAAGAAAGATTTAAGCACCTGTTTCCGTATTTTTTCATTTTTTGTCTTTGCTTCAAATTTGGTTTGCCGGGTTGATTAAAAATTTACGCATTCTCATTGGTTTGTTTTTCGGACAGATTATCGGATGGACTACGCTTTAACCGATCCCCAAAAACAACGTCGAATTTGAAACGATATACGTCATTTCGGAATTCCGAAACCACGTATAGCAGACACGTCATTTTGGATTCCGAAACGACGTACGTTAATTCGGAATTGACGTGAATCCCAAAACGATGTATAACATTCCCAAAGAAAATAGTAATGAATAAAGAAATAAATGAAAAATGATTTAAAATATAATTTTACCTTTGTTTGAAACATATACCTGTCGAACCTAAAAAATATACATGTATTATTTAGAACTGCACTTAATTTTGTAGTAAAAATTCGACTGGTGTAAACTGTATTTGGTGGTTAATATTCTTTGCAATTTACATTCATGTGTTACGAGAAAAAAATCAATATTTGATCAAAAAGCAACAAAATTGCACTGGAAGCCATAAGGTATAGAATTTTATATAAAAGTGATTTCCATGCATAGTTAAATTTAATTTGCATGAATTTAATAGGACCGTTGGTTCAAACGATCCATCTTCATAAGGACCGGGCCATTTCGACCCCAGGATGGATCGAAGGACCATCGATCCGGTACCAATTAAATACAACCCAATACGCGAATTTAGAAAAGTATACTATTGATTCAAAATAAATAATTGGAAAAATAAGCACCCGCCTTTGAGTAAAATTATAACATAAATAAGCAGAAATTTTCTTCCATGAGTATTCAACATGAGGAATTTTAACATAAAAAAGTGGTATATATTCACAGAAGAACGCAATAAGAATAAATAATTTAACATCCAATAGTAAGTCAAAGAAATAAAACATATAAAACATAGCTACCAAGGAACATAAATTTCGAAATGATAAGGAGTAACAATCAATAAGTGATGTTTCTTATTTTTGAGTTCTTTAATTTAATTGAGAGAAATAAGTGAATAAGCATAAAGAAAGAAACTTAATATCTTGTGCTATGATAAAAACCAAAATGTGAAACCTAAAATTGAAATTTCACGAAAACGATAAACTAAGCAAATTTGTCAAATGGCGAATCGTTGAAGGTAATTTTCGACAAATCTCCAGCCGAAGATGTAGAATCGTAACTAAGATATTCAGTGATGAATGGAAATTGTGGTAATGGTGAAATCAACGAGGAGGCATTTGGAACGATTGAAGATATTGTGGTGCTGGTTAGGGTATTTGTAGTTGCAATGATAATATTAGTACTATTATTATCATTGACATTAGATTCAAAAGATTCTTTTGATTCCGCAAAAACGAATTTGTCTACCGGAATTATATCAATACTATTATCGATTATTTCCTTGCCATTAGTTTCAGCGAACAGATAATTATTTTCAGCACAAATTAATGGATTATTTGTTTGATCCAATAAGATAATCTCATTAGATATATCGGTATCGATCGATGTACCAGCATCTTCAGTATAATTAGGTAAAATCGAAGAGTCGAAAGTAAAGTTTCGAAGATTATTGTTGTTTATGGTAATTCCAAGTGTATCAACGCAATAATTGTAGTCGGGATTCAATTCATTTGAAGATGAAAGTGAATCTTCTGGCATCGTTATTGGATCTTGAGTAAGAGAAGATGCTAATATAAAGGACGTAGGCCCATTTAGATGAATATCGAACGACGTGTCAATCGGAGTATAGAAAGAACTAGACTCGGTCAAGTTTATTGTGGCAGAATTAGAAGAAGAGGATGAGGAAACATTAATAGAAGAAGGATCCAAGGCTACACGATTGTTGTTGCTGTTATTGTTTTCATCGTCTTTAGCATAAGCATCATCTTCGTCATATTCATAAAGCTCATCGTTGTCTCCACGAAATACCGATTCTTTTTTCTTTGGACTATATTGATAACTGGGATACATGAGTTTATGTATCTTAAAAGCGATTCTTTGTAGCAGATCAAAGTATTTCTTGACTTCACTAGGCTGCGATCTCCATTCGGCGCCGCATTCTTTAGAAATATCTTGGAATTTGGCATTTGTCTTGAGTAGACGCAATTTTGCATCATAGTTTTTACGGAAGATGATGAATTGGTTTTGTTGTCGAGGACTATTCAAATCTTTTTTATTTTTACGCGTTCTTTTGGCGGGTGCGAGAAGCTTATCCATAGATAGGAGTAATTTATATGGAGGATCGTGGAACATTTTTTTGTCGTATTCAGACATGGTGCTAACTATGTCGAGAATTGAAGTAGTCGTGATAATGGATGTTATTGTCATTGTAGTTTTTGTAGCCTCAAACGTGAAAACTGAAAGAATTGGAAGTGGTCAGTGAACCAACAAGAGTAAGTAATGTTTTCTATTTATTTATTATTTTGAGTTTTTTATTATTTGAATCTTTTATTTAAGTTTGTTATTATTTAAGAAAAGTGATTTGTTTATTTTATTCATAAAAACATTAGAGTAAGCAATTTGAAACCATATTTTTTCCTGGAAATGCGTATATAAGTATGATGCTGCGCCATCAACAATGGCGATTTCGGATAAATAGCATTCTGTTACGTTACATGCAGTTTATTTACATGCATAAAAGTGATAAGAATGATATAACCAAAAAATATTGTTGTCCGAATTTTTCAAACCCGATAAACGCGTCTTAAAAATTATCTTGGATCAACACAATCGATTTCTGTACATAATAAAACGTATAATAACAAATATAGTAATACATGTACATGTAAATGCATGTTCATTACATAATTTTTGTGCGCATTAACGTTCACATAATTGTGACGAAATCAGATTAAATTGAAATTCGATAACTTTTTTTTCAGAGTATAGTACTAAATTTTGTCATTGATGATTTATATACCCTACTAGATTTCATTTTAATCTGGTAAATATGATTCTTCGAATGGATCCCTTTTGCAGGATTTACCGATGTTGAATATTTTGCAAAGGGAGGGTTTGGCTCAATTTATAATGCAACCTTCTTGGTTGAACGGACCATCGAATTATCGTAGGGGGGTCATGAAAAATAAATCTAAACGAGATGGAAAAAGTGACAGTTGTGTTGAAATTTCATAAGCGAAGTAAAATGTACCCCTTTTAAAGTGTAAACATACTGCTTTTTTGTTTTTTCAATATAATTAACTTTTTCAAAATTAGATTCATACTGCATTAAAGTGCGATGTTTTTAATAATAATATTGGTTATTATTGAATAACCAAAAACTCATCTACAAATGAATACTCGATGGTGATCTACGCAAATGTATGAATTCCAAATTAACTTGGGTCATTTAAGTTATATTATTGGAGGGTTGAATAAATTCACAATGAGGAATTTGTGCATCATCTGGAAATATATCAATACGTGATTATCCTCAAATTACTGACTTTGGAATTATTGGTCCAGAAAATATAGAAAAATCTGATCATAAAATTTACGGCGTACCTCCTTATATGAGCTCAGAGGTACTAAATGGAAAGCCATACACCAAAGCTCCAGATATTTATAGGTTTGGAGTGATTACGTACGAGTTTGCCACATGTGAAAAACCATCCGGTGAGCGGAGTCATGGTAATGACCTCGTATTAGGCATCTATAACGGAGTACAACCTACGATATCAAATAATGTTCTTGGATGGAGCAAATTTATTATTGAAAAATGGTGAGATCCTCCAAAAAACAGACCAAATACTAAGGAACTTTATGATTTTATCTATCCATCTACGATATTTGCACTTAGTTATCGAGAAAACTGAATACTTTGCATTTCAGCATTACAACTCCAAGAAGTTATTGTGTCTCTTATAATAGAAAAGCAGATGAAAAGCGCTTTACAAATAAATAAATCCACTCAAACGCAATTTACACTAATCGAAGTCTTTACTACAAAATTAATGTCAATTCAAACTCATACAGGTACTTTTCTATTTGAAATATAAATCATATTAACATTTCATGTTAATTAAATGTTTAGGGTTGACAAGTGGCAGTTTGTTTGCTCAAAACGAAGGTAAAATTATATTTAATATTTTTTGTTGACTTAATTCGTTACTGTTTTTTCTTTGGTGGTGCAAAACAGATTTCGATTTAAGTACGCCATTTGAAATTATCGATTTGGATGAGCTTAAAGAGGATGAAAAATATCGAGTGACCTACGTGAAATCAGCGAGATAGATGAAATCAAAGACAATGAAGAGGAGGTATCGAGTGTCTTATACAGATTCATGACGAAACACCTAAACTACAAATTCATGACGACATGCCTCCCAACAACATCATCAAAGAAAAATACTGCGCTTTGTTAGAAGAAAATAGTAGCTACTTATTTATACATTTATTGAATTAATTATCAATGCGAACAATTTTAATTTAATGTCTTAAAACATCAGAGAAATGGTTTATTGTTATAACTTTTTTGTGTTTACCGTTACATATTATCGTTATATTTATCAAAATTTTACTCATGAAATTATTCTCGAAAATCTACTTTTATGTGTATGTATTTAGAGTATACGTGTATAACGATAACAAAATTTGTAATACATGTACATGCATACCTAACGTTGTACCTTCGGTGATCAGTCCGAAACACAAACCAATAAGGATGCATAAATTTTTAATCAGTCCGGCAAAACAAATCCGAAACACGAACGAAAAAATGAAAAATACGAAAAACGGATGCTTAAATCTATCTTGGAGCACTATTAAAAAGGTTGAGAAGATAGTTTGCATATAATCTTGTTCTCCACTCTAACCCTAACCCTAATCTTTAAATCAACTTTTAATTGTAATACCCATGTGGTCACGTGGATACAACGCTTTAACTCTAGTATGGTGCATAACATCTAAAGTCATCAAACGTTTGTATTTTATAAAATGTATAAACATCTTTACTAAGAAGTAAATATAAAATTTAATCCGTGAACATGCTCAGAAATGGTTTATTCTATCATATTCACGGATTAAATTTTGCATTTAGTTCTTTGTAAAGATGTTTATACGTTTTGTAAAATACAAACGTTTGATGACTTTAGATGTTATGCACCATACCCTAGCCATGGCGAAAAAAATGTACGGTGCACGTGAAAATGAACCAATCCAACCAATAATAATGCGTAAAAATTATGCGCAACCAATAGGAATGTAGCAAATTTTTGATCAACCCGGCAAAACAAATCCGGCACAAGAAAATAAGAAAAGACAAAAAATGCGAAAAATACAGAAGCAGATATCTAAATCTAGCTTGGTGTACTATCAAAAAATGTCGAGAAGACAATTTTATATTAACTTTGATTCCCAACCCTAATACTTAATATCTAATATTAATCGGATATTTTAATGGACCTATTACAGATCACATGACCCGACATTTGTTTTTTCGGTGGCTAGGGTTTTACAAAAAATTGAATATCTATCAGTATATTAAACTAATCGAATTTTATCCAATCTTGTTCACATATATCGAACAAGATAGATTAGAAATTTGGATTACAATTTGTGTTACATAAATAAATGAATCCAATCCAAAATTTAATATGAATATACCCTATGTTTCCTGTATTATTTTTCATAAGATTTGTTAGAAGTCGACTCGTGAATGAGATGAAATTTCATCCAACTTTGAGTGTATATCGATAGATTTAGAATATTTTGGCCAACACTAATCTTATTCAGCATTAACCCTAACTCTAGCCATATCCTTATCTTGATTTGGGCTGATTCATATCCATATACCGATAAATAAGGAAAAAAATCAGAGGGTATAACAAAATCAGTGACAATGTATATAAATCCTGAATTACGGCAAGTTCCTTTTTGCAATATGTCCATATTGCCTTATTATGACCGTCTCTCAAGGGATATGTTTACACACTGAATCTTTACCCTTTTTTGTTATATTAGTCGACTAGAATTAAAAAATAACAACAAATTATTTTTTTGTTTATTTTGTTAATAATTCCCAAAACAAACCCTCGTAGCATATTAGTGCCAACTAGGGATGTTACTATGTAAAAACAATAATATATAAATATATCTAATGAGGTTCGATTATTCAATCTATACAGCTCGTTGTTTAGGCGTACGTCCAAACCGTGCAGCTCGTGCAGCAGCCAATCCCTCAATAAATCGGCAAAACGCGTCTTCAGTCTCGTTCAAAAAACTATTATATATGGTATTGATTATATAAATGAAAAAGAGATTAATAAATTTCAAATTCATATACAAAAATCAATAAATAGGAGAGAAAAGAATTCAAACCTTGTACTATTATGCACACAAGTACCACCCAAGACTAACCGAACTCCAGCTGTGGATGCATTTAATTGAGCGACATAACGTGCCTCTTCATAAGTTACACCGCCAACCATGAATATAATGATATCTTGTGGTCTGCAAATTAAATATTAATACAATTTATCTAATATAATATAATAATTATTAAATTAATCTAAGTGCCGCCTCATACCTGTCCTTTGTAACTCCTTCAATAAATGGGTAGCTAGTTTCTTTCAATTTACCCTTGATCATAAGTTCAAGAGTCTGGGTTAGTTGCGGTGAATGCATCGTGTATACATTCTCTGCACCCTAAACATAAAAAAATTGATATGCATTATTTTACAGAATAACACTAAAACATAAAATATAAGTATATATTACCTTCAAGCCTTTAAATACTGTTTTACTTCGTGCAAAAAAGCCTTCTCTTGCAAACAAGTCATCTTGTCTTTTATCAGCGCTGGCAGATTCCACCACTGAATGAATCAACTATTATAGAGACTAAAAATTAATGGTTTCATCTTTTAAATAAACATTAAAAATGAACAATAAATCTAATAGAAAGTACATACCGATATTCCATGATCGCTGACATTATTACGATGTAATAAATCAAGTAGTGAATCAATCGCCATATTTTGAGATTTTTCATACCGTAGTGCATAAAGAATGACCAAACGTACTTTACTGTTTTCTGATACGTTTGTACTTTGAATAAGTTTTTGTAAGCTCTTTATAAAATTTGTAGTAATCATAACGATACAGGGTTGATGAGAAATTATATAGACTCGAAATTTCAATACAAAAGATATATCATAATAAATAATTTGAATACCTTCAAGTCATTGGCATGCTGATCATAACATGCCAAACTCTGCTCAAGCTCACTAACTTCCAATAGATTTCCCTTGTCCACCAATCGACTCAATTCACCAACCAAGGCAACATGTTTACTAACGTTTGCGGACAACTTTCTAAACTCTGGATATTCTTCCACAAATCGTTTCATATCCGCAATAGAATCAATGTTCATATTGGATTTGGTTTTAGACTGATATTCTTCAACATATGATTTAATATTCGCGCTGAGATCACCAAGATTCAGATACATGTTCTTTTTATAAAAAGGATCTTGATCCCTAGAAAGTACGATTTCCTTTTTGGGAGATGGAAGGTTATTATTTTTAGCCATGTGTCCGATTTTTATTATCATGAGTGATACAATAAAGTTTTATTCTCACCCTCAATTCTGGCCTTATATCGGGGACCTCAGACAAATCAACCCTACCATTATTTATCCCAAGTAATTCATGTACCATTGCTTGATACGTCCATTGTGAGAGTAAAGGAGTGACTGGATCACTTCTGCGATCCAATATGAGCAGAATTGGTGGAGTATCAGTCCGTCGCCAAGTAAATAATTGCCCTTCTTGTTGAATTTGGTACTATGTAAACAGAAACAGGGTTTTTTTTTACAATTATGTGCTTTTTTCCAAAATCGTCCAAGAGCTAGATGATGATGATGATCGATATATTCAACTTTTTTTCTCTAAAATAAATCCGGATTTAATTCGATAATCACTTACTTGTACTTCCTGAGCCAGTCTTTTCGCCATTGAACTTTTGCCCTCATAACGGATCGCAGGCTTTTTCTTCAAGGAAAGTAATACCGACAATACTCCTTCCACTGTCCGTTGAAATGTTTTTCCGTCCCAAGATGTAGGAGAAATGCCGTATAATGGATAATTAGGAAGACCGAGATTGAGTGAATAAAAATCAGGATTTATTGCACAATAATCAGCATAATATTCCTTGATAATCCGGATGAAACCATTATATTAATTAATCAGTCAAATAAAAAAAAAGGTAATTCAAAGAAATATCCAAAATAATATTAAAAAAATAAATAATCCATACTTGAACCTCACGAACAACTTCATGTTCATCCACTTCTGCTAATCGCTCGATAGCAGATTTTTTTAAAGTATTACTAAAGTCTGATTAAAATAATTCATGAAATAAAATTAACAATTATGTTGGGGAGGAATGTAATAAATATAACAATAAAAATATAAAAGAAAGAGATCCATAAGTTACATAAATAATAATCGCCATAACAAGGATCTTTTAACTCTTCGACCAAGAGTTGTCGTGTCTCAGTGGTAGGTCTAAGAAAACAAACGCACTTTAAATGACGCATTCTATCACGATTTCGATTTTCAATTCGATCGACGAGATATGTTTCGTGCGAGAGAAGAGTAGATTGAGTCATGACATTTGATATAATTGGCGTCTGTTTCCCATCAGAATCGTCATTTTTATCAAGCAATTCATTTGATTTAATATAATGAGCTGTTAATAATTAATTAAAATGACGGTTTTTCTATACTCTTTCTAATCTTGACTAACATTTTATTTTATTACGATTAAAAAGAGACGTGATTGTTACCGTTTCACTATCAAGTAATAGAACCTTCATTCCTGCCACTTCATTGACCATTTTACTGACATAATTCTGTACAGCTTCAACGACATCCATTTTTTGGCAATGTAAATTAACGTCAAGGCGTGAATTTGATCACCAAAATTCGTGACGATCATTAATAGTTTGGCAATCGAACCCAATATATACAGTTCATTCATCATTAGTGTGATGATAATAAATAAACTTTCACCTCATAATGGGATGAAGATGTTTGTTGACTTTGTTGTTATATACTACTAATAAAAAAAGAATGCATAAATAATAAAGTTATCTACATCTGGGTTCACTAATCTACATAGGAAAAAATATAAATTCTATCAAAAACTAAAATCCTGGATATACGCGGAGAGGGTCTTTGGTAGTTATAACAATATCCTGCTATTACATTACTTTATCAAATAAATTATAATTCTAGTTGCCAAATTCTCATTCTTTCACTAATTCGTATTCGACTAGCCGCCTCATCTCTTTTTCCTTTATCCTATTAATGATACCTCGAGATTCTTTTTTTCCTGCGCATGATCAAATCATGTAAATGATGGTTCCTCCTGAATACTTTTCTTGATCCTTAGCAAAATGGTGGTCTTCCAATTATCCAATTTGCTTAGTTGGTCAAACTCTAGTACTCTATTGGTGAAGTTATCAACATCACCTGCTTCTACTGCATCAAGTATAGACTTTGGGTATTTTTTTTGAATGATTAAGTATTATCAATTATAAATCTTGAATCTTTCAAGAAAAATTCAATGATTGAGAGATGGAAGTACCTGAAGAAATTGACACTCTCGTGTAGTACTAAATGTCACATCCATTTCACTGTATCGTTGAATGGCTCTATGTGCACCAATATGATCCTATTGATACGAGAAAACGATTTAATTTAAAATCTCCAGATTATAATTTTGTAATATAGTATTAAACTCTTCTTTACCCCATTAGCAATATGACATAGTCCCGCCTTCAAAAAATAATCTTTCAGAGACCATTTTGTAAGGTTATTATCGAGATTAGCATTCGCAACCTGTTCGAATTTCTCGATGGCCTTGTCGTATTGTTCTAGAGTCGCGGCAAAAGTGGCCACCTTGAGTAAACAATTATTGGCAAGGCTTTGTTATGTTAAAATAAGAGAATTTTAAAATTTTTGAAAAAAAGTGGTTAATATTTTTTAAACATTCACAATTAGAAATTTAGTTTTGATAAACGTTGATAATTATAATGATAATTCTTACGCTGTTGCCTCTTCCCCGGCATACCAATCTGCAGCAATCTCATAAGATTGCATTGCTTTTTCCAGATCGACTAAATCCGATTCATAGATCTGTGCGATATCCTTCTGATGACCTGCAGCAGCCTGAAACCGTCCTCGATCAGTCAGGATTTCGATAGCTTGTTTTAGTGAAGTTATGGCATCTAATTGAAAATTCTCATCAATTAATATTTGTATATACTTTACATGGTATATATATAAAAATATACTCTTATATGCTCACCTTCAAAGCTACACTTTTTGTAACATTTAGAAGCATTAATAAAAGTTGTTGCCGCCTCATCACGTTCGTTTAATTGCATTTGCATGTTTGCCGCTTTCATAAAAGCATCGCCAGCTTCTTTCCCTGTACGATTAACGAATTGATTCAAAAGATATTAAAAGATTTTTGTTTATTTAAGAATATGGGATTTTTCTCGATAAAAGGTGACTAAATGCAGTTCTGTTGTGAACACATTTCCCGAGCCCCCCAAATCCAAAAAAGTTAATTACGTATGTATTTTAAAAATTCTCGCTTCTGAACAGCAACAGCCTAAAAGAAAGCACCATACACAAACACACTCTTTCTCTCTCATAGTCTCCCGAGCTCATAAAAATGCAACTTACAGCGCTTTGCCAATTTGAAAGAATTAGCAGCCTTGCTATACAACTCTGAAGCTTCTTCGAACTTGTTACCGCCAAACCAACCAAACGTTGTGGCTTTTTTATCAGCTTTAGCTAGAATCAATTGTGCTTCTCGTTCCGACATTTTAGTTTTGTTTCAAATTTACTAAAATACATACAATAAAGATGTTGATCATCATCGTTGTTGGCATTACCATATGTACGCACGCACGCTTAATGCCGCCGCCGTTATCTGGATCATCATCAGATTAAGAATGATATCTGTAGTATCGTGATTCACCATTATAGCGCATACATAGCGGCTCTGAATGAAATTAATATATAAGTAATTCTCTTTCACCCAATATAATCCGTTTCTTAAGTGAAAAAATTTGTAAGAGTTCATCACTTTCGTATTGTTTAGTTCTTTTTAACGATAATACTTTTTCAAGAACTAATTATAAATGATATCAAATAAAAAATTATTTATCAATAATCTGTAAATAATAACTTTTGTTGCTAATTAATTGTTTCACAATAAAATACTATTGATTGAAATTTAATTTATTATTTTTCTTTCCAAACATATTAATTATTACAATGCAAGTATACTTCACTTTCCGATTTTGAGATATTTATCTTGGCTTGAAGAGAGATCGAGGCTTTGTAAAATCTATGTTTGTACATTCTACTTTTAGCTTTCACATTCGATTTGACAAAATAGAATATTTCTAAAATCTAACAAATATGAAATTATTAAAGGCAATAAGAAAACAAAAAAAAAAGAAACTGTAACAAACGAACAAACCTTCTAAAATAATCGAATACAAATAATAAAAAATAAAAAGCAATCAAGTCATCCATCCCTACCAGATAGATGATCCACAACCATCCGTTTTATGAATTTAATAATTCACTTATCGACTCAAACATTCTGCAAATCGCCAAAGAGTACAACTCGCGCTTTTAGAAAATCATTGATGTAGATATTTTGCGATTCGCAGGTGTTTCCAGGACCAGCGAGTTCTCCGAGCTTTTTTGAGTTTTGGCACATATAGGGTATACATGAGAAATAAAAAGCTGTTCAATTCGTATAAACTCGATTATTACAATAACATAAAAAAAAAGCGCATACTTGATTCATGTCCACATTACGAGGTAAGTAATAAGCGATATTTTTCGTGATTTTTTTGGATTCCCGAAATATTTTTTCGCTAATAGACAAATATCCAACAAAAAATAAATCTTTTTTTTTTAATAAAATAATAAAATTTAAAGATTGCCTATTATAATTACCCGTCCAGTGGCATCATTGTTTTTATGTCATATTTTTCGGTATTCAAATATGAAGGTCCTATATTAAATGAGAATATATAAGAGAGAGATTGACTGACTATGAAACGAATTAGCTTTTGATATGCAGAATTTGAGAAATATAGTTAACTTTACCTCCCCATGGTGGACTCAAGAACACGACATCAGCCTATACACAAATAAAAATAAAATACATAGATAGCTATTGCAAAAATAAGCAAACAAAAACCAAACCAGAACAGACCTTCAACTTTGGAATCAACTTCAAATAATCACCGTGAATAAATTCTATTCGATCCTCGACTCCGTAGATTTGAGCGTTGTTTCTGGCACACTGTAATTTTGTCTCGTCGATATCAATTGCGATTACTTTTTATTCGTAGTCAATTGATAATGTTTTCATTACTACCATTCACTAAATTAAAAACAGACATATATACAAAAATATATATAAATTACCTAGATTACAAGTCATGGCGAAATGAATCATGTTCCCACCTACTCCACAGAATGCATCGATAATAATATCACATCTGCAACGTTCGGCAATGTGTTGAGCGATGTCTTCGGGTGTTACAGAGTACCAGCTTTCTATTTTAATATCATGTTATTTTATTATTGGTATTATTTAAAGACTGTCATCAGGAAATTTTAAAAATGGAGGGCATTGATTGCAAACTACTAGTTTGTAGCAATCCCATTGATTAAAATCGATGATTTTTCACCGATAGTAATCATTTACTTCAACTTTTAAAAAAACGAACGGTCATTTTGGGACGCGATCCAGTGACTCGATCCAGGCGATCTTACCACCATTTGATTCTTCTTGTCGAAACGAATCGAATGGTCCTGAATCGGGTTACTGGGATCGCGTTTAAATAATATAATCGTTAAAAGTGGCAAACGATTTTCCGTTGAAAATCGATCAACATCGATTTCCGCTAGCAATCAAATGCCAACGATTTTGGTGATGCACTCCAGTAAAATTATATTCGCAAAAAACAATTTAGACTAATAATAGTTGTTAAAAAGAAACTTTGTAAATATGCTAGTAATAACAAGTACCTGCATCAATAAGAATACCATGATCATATAAAGAAAATAGCGTGTACCGTTGATGGTAATACCTGATATTAAGAATTGACAGCAATAAAAATTAATTAAGCAAAATATGATTAACAAAAACCAATTATCAAAAAACACGCAGAAGAAAAACATGCTTTTTGAGATTCTGGGGAATTGTGTCTTCATTATAATTAATAATAGCAATTTCTTTTTCTTCGATGACATTGGCTGTAATTGTTGTTATTCCGCCCCCTACGCCTTTGAGTTGTTGTGAATTATCAGGAGTCTTTTGTCGCTTTGCTATTTTAGAAGATGAAGCTGGCGACGACTCGATTTCAATATCATCAGAAGAGTAGTATTCCTGCTGTTGTGATGATTCTTTCATGTTTATATTTGTAGTAGAAATATCACTATGCAATGGTCCGGTAATATTTTCGATTCCTATATTCTTGCTGACGTTACTCTTATTAATGTTTACTTCGGGTTGTTGTTCTAATTCCCTCTTTTTATTGGCGCGCCGATGTCTTCTTTTTCTTTTTCGGGATTTGCAAGTTTCTTGATCAATCACTGAATTATTGCCACTATTGTTGTTGTTGTTTTTATAGGCAACAACAACCATGTTATTAGAATCGTCATTCTCCTCTTTACTTGTACTTTTCATCATTAATCAGTATTTTTTTTTGATTATTTGTATTATTAATTAAAGCGTTATTATCATTAAAGGATTAATTGTCCTAATGATTGGTGGATTCGCTTACTTGTTTTTCTCTTTTTATTATGGATATTGTAACTTCGATATATGACGCGCGTTAGATAACGATAAATTTATGTAGATATACAGACCAATGATTGGCCAACAATTGATGATGACGATTACCCAACCATACGTATAAAATTTTCTGGATCTCGCACTAAAAAGGTTCTTCCTTTCGCAGCGATACTCGGACGCTTATTGTATCCTTTTGTGTGTGTGATGTATTTTGGCGTTTGTGAAATACAAACAGACAAATTCAAGGAACTCGAGAAATTTTAAATCTCGGGTGAAAAGAAATGATGGATGGATGGATGGATGAATGAATGAATTGATGTTTTTTTAAGTACATTTTCCTCAACGAATGAATCAATGAATTTATCTTCACAGAATACTGTCTCCATAATTTGACAGTCATGTCTAAGTTGCCTGCAATTCTAAACGGTAAACCAAATTTTCATTTCTCTTGGTATTAAATACTTTATTCTTTTAGCAACATTATATTAGCTAATACATGAAATATCAAACAGCTTCCGAGGAGGATATTCAATATCTTCTTTCGGCTCAAGCCCATATTGGGGCAAAAAATCTTAATGTCCAAATGACACCGTACGTGTGGAAAAGACGTGCTGACGGTAGTTATATGCAATTTAATCGATAGTAATCTGACGATAAATTACGTTCTCATTTTCAATATGGATCAACTTGCAAATTCAGGTGTTCACATCATCAATATTGGCAAAACGTGGGAAAAAATAGTATTTGCTGCCCGCATAATCGCAGCAATCGAAAACCCAGCTGATGTAGTAGTAATCTCAGCGCGTCCATACGGCCAACGAGCCGCACTAAAATACGCATCATACACACACGCCCAAGCAATATCTGGTCGTTTCACCCCAGGCACATTCACAAACTACAATACCCGTTCTTTCAAAGAACCGCGCTTGATTATCGTCACGGACCCGCGTACTGATCACCAAGCAATCAAAGAAGCCTCATATGTTAATATTCCGGTCATCGCACTAGCAGATACCGACTCGCCACTTCGATTTGTCGACGTGGCAATCCCAACAAATAATAAAGCTAAACACTCGATCGGGTTAATTTATTGGTTTTTGGCACGAGAGGTTCTTCGTCTTCGCGGGACAATTCCTAGGGATCAATCTTGGGACGTGATGGTTGATATGTTCTTTTATCGTGATCCCGAAGAAGCGGAAAAAGAGGCAGAGATTTCGGGTGGTGCTCTGGATAAGGGTACTGGCGAAGGAACTGGTGGATATGCCGAGGGTGGACAGAGTTGGGAAACTACGGATGCTGGAATTGGAGGATGGGAAGCTTCTGGTCCGGCGCCAGTTGGCGGAATTAATCCTGCACTTGCTGCCGCAATTCCTTCAAACGCTGCTACTTCTCAGTGGGATACGGCGGCCGATGATGAGGCTGGAGGTGCTGGTGGATGGACAGATTCGTCGACTGCGGCGGCTGCTACGCCGTTTCCTGAACCTACTAACGAGTTCAGTGCGGCGGATACATTTGAGCCTAGTACGGCTAGTAATTGGGCCGATGAGACAACTGAAAATGTTGAGGGTTCTGGATGGGATTAGTAGTGAGGTCTTGTGGAAAATTAAAAGGTATTGATTTCTTTTATTCGTTTTTTTTTTCGGATGGGATCTAAACTAGCCTTTTTATTTCGTTTATTAGTTCACATTAAATATAATGCTGTTGGATATCGTACGTTTTTTGAAGCAAAATTTTGAATTTATACATTCGAAACAAAATAATGTTAAAAATAGCATGTATATGTTTTCGCAGTGTAAAATAAATATCTCAGTCTGTCTTCCTCCTTTTAATAAATAACCAAAATAGAGATGATAAATAAGCAGGATAATGTTTTAGAAAAAGATGTACAGGATGCGTAGTTGTCAAATTTAATGAATTCGTTCTCGAGGATTATGTTTTATTAAAATCATCATTTTCTATAAACTCTTCAACTAATTATTAAACTAGCTAGCTATTAACTGATTAACTTGAAGGAAAAACAATATATTAGTTCAGAAAATTTTTAATACATTTTCTTTCAGATTTCGTTTAAATTGATGAATAAAAAAAATGTATGTTATTTTATTATTTTTAAAACAAAAATTAGCAAGATATTGGATATTTTTTTAAGAATAAATGTATTTGTTATTCATAATAATTGCATTTTAACTGGCTAATTAGAATTTGAGTTAGAGTTGATTTGAGTTAGAGTTAGAATTAATATTTGATTTTTTTTAATATATCAAAACTAAAAATTTATTCAATATTTGTATAAATCATATCAATGATATAAAATATTACAAAAAAATAATAAAAACTTTATTAATCAGAATTATAATCTGAAATAAAACAAAGATAAAATTAGTTAATTCAAAATTTTACAAGAAATATTTTTTTGTTAGTATACAAAAAACAATTTTATAAGTAGAATTTTGAAATACAGATCATTTTCCAAAAATTTATTTTGTTTTGAATTTTTTCATTATATATTAATTCTATAATTTAATTGATTAATTTAATATTGGTATTTAGTACTGATAATGTGATTTAGTAATATCATTTATATTAATTAAATATAATATTTATTTTTGATATTACTAAATTATATTATTAAATATTAGTATCAAATTGATCAATCAGATTGCAAAATTAAAAAATTTAATTAATTATAAAAGTAATATATAATAAAAAATTCAAAATAAAACAAAATAAAAATAAATTTTTTAAAAATAATTTATATTATTACTATTTTAAAAAAATTAAAATAATTATAAATAATATATATATTTTCATTAAGTTTAAAATAAAAAAGACTTAAAATTATATTTAAAAGATAAGTAATATATATATTTATTTTGGTTATAAACTAAAATAATATCAAATAACTTTAATCTAACTTTAATAAGTTATAATATAATATAATAAATATTTAAAATAATTTTAATTATAAATCAAATACAAATAATTTATTAATAAACTAAGTATTATTTATTAATTAATATAGATTATAATTAAAATTTAAATCTTTCTTAAAGAATTTAAATATTATTATAATATAAATATTTAATTATTATTTAGTTATATTTTATTAAATAATTTATATTATAATTTAATTAAATATAATTTCTAATAAAAGTAATAGCAAATATATTTTTTGTTTATATCTTAATGAGAAATTATTCAAAAATTATGAAAATTTGTAAACATATTCTTTAGAATATTAGAAAGAAATTTTTATAATATTACAAAACAAAATTTGCATTCTAATTATTCATATCAGAATCGTGAATATCAAAATTATTATAATTATAAATATCAATATCAGGAATATGAATATCAGAAATGTAAATATCAGAAATGTAAATATTAGAAATGTAAATATTGGAAACGTGAATATTAGAATTATAAATATCAGAAATGCAAATATCAAAATTATCCAAGTAGAGAATATTAAATTAAAAATTTCTTTAAAAATTAATAATTATTTGCTCTTGTCCAACAGCTGAGCAATAATGTTAAAGAGATCAAAGATGATTTGAGATAAATGCATGAGAGGATAACAAACTTTCAACAAAAATTTTCAATGTAAGTTTTTTTGTTTATGATTGAATCAAATCAATTTTAATTAATATTTTTATTTATAAATTATCTTTACTGGAGTTGTAAAAATATTGTTTTCATAATAAATATATCCTTTACTAAAAATTTTAAAAAACATATTAAAAGATTACATGAATAATAATTATTTTAAAGTTATGATATTAATTAATAGTAATTAATTTTTAAATAATTTCTATAACAAGCGAACAATATCAGCATAATTAAATATTAATTATTTTAAAATAATTACTATTATAAATATTAATTATATTAAATATAATTATTTTTATAAATTATTAATTTTATAACTTTAACAAAAAATAAAAAATCACTAAAACACACAGTTTTCAAATATAAAAACTACTTTATTTAGTGTTTTCAACATGGAACAACTATCATATTTAAAAATAAATTTCTTCATAATGGAGATTATAACATGAAAGTATGATAAAAGAGTAAGTTGTTTTACAGAACTTTTTAAAATAAACAATGAAGATTTGTTTTGTATAATATCCAGATTAAAATAATTATTTATACATATTTTTTTTAATATAATAATAAAAATTTGTATTGAATTATAATAATTGTTCAAGCAGCATTTCTAAAAATAAATTTTATTACTGAATACTATATAATTATATTGATAGTTTGTGATATCTACTTAAATTCTGATTTATAAAATAAATAAAACTTTTATTATTTAATAAATTTAATTTAAGTATTATATTTATTAGTTCATTTATATATTATATATATTGTCACCATTGTGACATGTTATCTATTTGTTGACACGTTAATGCAAAAGACCAGGAAGGTGAGCATAGCGTCATTATCATGAGGAGCTCAACAATTATCTATAATAATGATATTTCTCTCACATGATGATAGTATTTGACAAAGAACAATGATT